GTAAATTTATTTTACCTGTGGAATAAATAATCTTTGACTTTGACTTTGACTAACTAATAAATGTAAAAAGAGCATTTTGTCATATTGGCTGCAGGTAAATGGCATATACGATGGGTGCCACCAAGTTTCCTAAAATGTACTTTTGGAATTAGTTGCTTTATTCTGTCGTCCGTTAACTACAAGGCGGTTAAGTGACAGAATATTTTTTTGAGTTATCATAAAACAAACCATAACCCAGTTTTAGAATAATGAAATTGTTTAACGATGTTTCAGTTATGCATCGTTAGGATAAGTTCCGACAAGACGAACACGTTAACTAATTTTAACTTGTTTTTAAAAGAGAATTTTGAGCTCTATGTTTTGCTGTTTAAAACGGATATTCCAGTCCAGTCCTATTGCATATATTGTGTATTAAAACCATGATTAACCCACTAACAATTTAATTTTCTTTTACATCTGTATTTCACTTGTTTTTCTTAATTTTTCTTTTATATATTATACATTTACAATATATAATTTGAATTAAATCACTAATATTTTTAATTTATTTTTTAAACATTATATTTATATTATCTTGCTATTTATTTGGTTTCTATTCTAATTATTATTATATGTTTAAATATAACTAAATGGAAAAATGACGTCAGCGAGCTGATTATCGTATCCGCGATTACCTCTAGGTTATAGCTGAAAATCAGCGGTTTGCTCTTGAGTGAACACCGACGCTGAGCTATGACCTTTTTGCACTGCTGCAGCACACGTACATAACTGGGTGTCTAGCAGTGCTGCGACTCTGCTGTTTTTGTTTATTTTTTGTTTTGTTTGTGTTTTTGTGTTTTTTTAAATTATTTTATTGCTGTTTTGTACGTGTGAATGTAGTAACAAATAAACGTTTTATCTATCTATCTATCTATCTATCTATTTGACCATTTATCACTTAGCAGCTTTTAGTTAGTGGACAGCAGTATTGTCGAGTGTACGATTTATAACTTCCAATACTTACATACAATATAGGTTTTGACAAGTAGCAATAAAAGTTCCTTGTGGAAGAGGTCGTCCGGGGAAGTACTGCCACCTTACTTATTTCTGCCGCCAAGCAATAATGCGAGCGTGAAGTGTAAGGGTGATAGTGAAATTATAGGCGCGTGGGACTTGTCAACTTATGACTCAGGAGGACGGGCTTACTGGCAGTGCCATTTAGATTTTTGCGATCGAAAACTCTGAGTGGCACTGCAATTGTTATGGACAGGCGTGTCGCTTACCACCAGGTTCACGACTTGTTCGTCCCGTTACAAAATGTCATAAAAAAAGGTACGTACGGAAGTATAAATGAAGATATATGTATACATAGCATTCTATATTTTATAAGGTAGGGCACCGGTGTGACTGGAAAGTCTCTTAAAGACGTTGCCATCAGAGGTAATAAATAAACAAGAAAGTAAGATTGTAAAACTTCCTCAAGATCTCGTCGTCACTCGTTAATTAAATACATCATAAGTAATTAAGGAAGTGCCAACGCCAAGTTCGGGATTCAACGAGAAATGGAGATAGTGGCCAAGTTTGCTTTGGAATTAATGTGAGGGAACTTTCATCTCGTAAAATAAATTGGTTGTTTATTTAGAATAGCAATTGGATTCTTGTGTATTTTCGAGAAAAATTTATATATACCTGTATTTCATCTGAATGTACGTTATTTACAATTGAGAATTTTATGTTTTATTTTGTGCTGTGAATAATACATTTTTGTTTAACATATAATAGCTTATCTGTTACTGTTTAACATCTGTTAATGTTTAAGCAAAAATAAATAACATCCTATATTGCTAGTAGGTAACACAGGTAAACGATGAACGATGGGAGTAAGTAGCAAACCTTAACGCGATCCCACAAACAATGTCATCACTGAGGTAGGATAGGTATTCAAGGATCCAACTTGCTAGTTTTCGCCTGGTGGGTCCATGGATAAGAATCCGACATAAGGGCGCGTTCCCATTGTGTCGTGACGACAGATAGTCGTGCGGTTTAAAGTGTGGCTTGTATATTTAAATGAAGTTGTTCGCACATAGTACAAGATGGTTAACTGTCATACACGACTTTTTTTATTGTTGCTACGACAGACTGTCGCACAGTGGGCCCAAATTGATAATTCTTAGACATAGGGATAACTTGTGAAGTATCGAGCTAATTTTTGCAAGTACACGCAGACGGATTATTTTTTTCTACATAGAAAATGGTTGGAACTATACTGTAAGTAACCCACGCATATTACATTCTCATATATTTTGAGATAAAAAATAAAATGTATATTTCTCCATATAAAAAAAATAAATTTTTTCTCTCCGAAACTATCAACTTTTCAAGAAATTATACAAGTATAAAAGTTGTTAGGAATGTTATTATCTATCATATAAAATGCGCTCGATACTGCACAAGTTATTCCTATATCCAAGAATTATCAATTTGGGCCCACTGTGTGTCGTGACAATGAGAAGAGCTAGAACGACGGTCTTAATAAATAAAACGTCTCGACAAAATTGTGACGACAGATAATCGCAACTTCAAACGATTCTGACGTGCAAACGATACGGCAGGTGCCGTGAACCGATAAATTGCGTTGTCACGAGCTAGAGGGAACAGCTAGATACGACAGTCGTTCAATATTAAAATAAACGTCCACGACACAGTCACGACATATAGTCGTGGTATGGGAACAGGCTAGACGCGACAGTCGTCCAACGATAAATAAAACGTTACGAGATAATGGGACCGCGCCCTAACCCCGCCGTCACCCAGCGATGGGCGTAAGATGGGAAGAACGGTATACGATATTTACAATACTACATCGAATCAAATAATATTCACATTAAGGACGTCTATTTGACGTCCTTCGAAGGTATTATGTAAACCGTCTTGATTGAGTATATAACCAGTCATATAGACGAAATAATCCATCCATCCATCCTTGGCAACTCATGAGGCAAATGAGCCTTGTATCTTTCTGAACCTTTTAAATAACAATTCTCGTTTGCACTGAAATCACAAATTAGAAAGCTGAAATAGTACAGTGTCAACAACTGACCTGTGTGTACGTCTCTGTATATTAAAAAAATATCCTGTATTTATATAGATAATATAAAGATAATATCTAGGGATATTGTCAATATGGGGGGCTGTTTCATTCAGTGGTGTGGGAAGAACAGCAAAACATGTAATTACAAAACAAACGTAATCACATTTCATCGGTAATCAAATATTAAAAATGTAATTATTCAATTTTCATCCATTACAGTAAAGGTCAAGTTAAACTGGTCGATTTGAAGTGAAACAATTAACGACACCGGACAATCGGAGCGCAGTTGTCACCGCAATGATTCGGCAGAATAGTTTTGAAACAAATTAAATGACATTTCTGGTTATATACTCGATGACCGTCTCCAAATGTAGGTTTCCCTACGAGGATTCCCTTCAACGTTAACAAGTGATAATGATGACAAACAAAAATAAATTATAATCCGAGTATTTATGTACCTTAAGTTTCTACCGCCAATAAACAATTACGTAGCGCTTACGCGCAACAACAAACAAGTAAACGAAGTTGGGTCTAAGCGATAATAACCCTGCTCGCTTCGAGCCGAAACGAGATTCATTGATATATAAACACTGTTGTTAAATAAACACCTTTATGCTTAACGGAGTTTATGTTCGTGTGGTGTTAAATAATAAAATATAGCAACCACGAGCAAGAAAATCCGGAATACTAACTGTAAGGGATGGTCACGGTACACCAAATAAATTATTCAATAGAACGTATAGCTGTGGCACACATGACGGTATACAAGTACTTCTACACACACGAGTAAATGGATTATATATGAGCGAAGGGAGAACGGATTTAATACCTCATTCTAAACTGTTGTACACCTCTCCTGAAGGTATTTTGAGGTACATCGGCATTAATATCGTGAAGAGCAGACAAGCAGCCATCCACAAATACACGTATTGTTTCTCAGAAAATCGCCTATCCATGTGCAAAAGCCAAAAGGAATTCCGTTAGGTGGAAGCTTGTTTAACAGACTATCATGACCGACCCTATAAATAACCTTTGAAATGTCGAGAGACATGGAAATTACAGAGATCATGGAACTAAGGTAAAAGATGAGATTCAATTATCTGGGTTCCTGGTTGGACCGAAACATGGGCAAGCAAGCATTTGCCTGGAACTTTTTCAGCGTGTAATTTATGAATTTTTAAAAGTTAGCAAAACCTCGTCTATAAGGAAAATTATCTGAAATCTACACATATATCACTACTTTGTAAAGGTTTTGTCCCGTTAAAAAAGCCTGTGACTACAAATTGTGGCAAATGCAAAAAAAAAAGAGGCAACGGAGTCAGAATTGGTTTCCGCCAACTAAGTTTAGTCTGGTAACACGCTTGATCGAACCAGTAATTTGGATCTCACGACCGTAGCGTAATCCTATTATTCCACAAAATGAGATTAGTCTTGTTAACACAGATAAGTCAAATATCCAACTAGTGTTATGAAAGTTTCGCCAAACAAAGGAAATCAAATCCGCTGACTGTTCTGCGCGAAAAGGCGCGTCGGATGGAAGTTGTTTAAGCTTGCATTGGAACAATAATTGTTGACTTTCACTGATTAATTATATAGCTATTCTCATAGTTATTCATTTAAGTTTAGTTCGCTCTAGAACAAACCGGGTCTCCCACAGGAGTAATAAGTTTGTAACAAATAACGATTCTTTGTTAGTAAAAGTAAACTATTGTTTTGATAATCACTTTTATTATCTGAAACTTATTCTTACATTAATAATATCAACTGTGCTTTCAAACATACTACTTGGGCATAGAAATCGGAAATAGCAATTACGAACCGAAGGCAAAAGATGTATGGATACTGGCGATATTTATATTGAGTACCGTGTTTAGATGGGACTGTTACGAAGCCATTGTTTTTGATTGTTCAGTACAATAGATAGCCTTAAATCTACTTGAGTACTCGGAAACTTTTGGTGCCATTTTGTTGAACAATATTAGTTGCCACTCCTGTAATTTAGAAATATACACAGTTGTGCTATTGAAATTTTTATTTTATCCAACAATTTTGGCCAAGTTTGAAAAGTCAGGCCAAGTTTCATCTGTGGTTTCATTTTTCCGTCCTTCTTTAGTATCTCTGAAAAACGACAGAGAAGTTGGCTCGTTTCTCGTTGGAACCGGAGCTGATAAAAGTTCACCACGATTAGTTTTCTGATACCTGGGAAATAAATATAATTTTAAAATAATCATGGTCATTATTTTGTTCCCAAATTGGTATTCACTTCTTAGACATCGACGACAAATGTTTTCTATTTGCATGAAACAACAATTCCTATATCCTTGTTCAACTTACCTAACAACAACTTCTAAAATTTCATGCTGCATTTTCAATTTCAAATCACCCGTGAGGTTCTTCATGGCATTACCGACGTACTGTCCGAAAATGAAGTCTTCGCTCACTTCATGACTTAGTAACTCTCTACCCAGTTGCGATAAAACATCCTTCACAACATTCGTAGCACCTTGGTTAACGGAGCAGTTCGTGTCGTTAACTGGTCGAGAAGTTGGTGACGTCTTTGAGTGTTTCCAACTGAGCTTCTCGTACTTTGGCCGCATTGGTGGGGGTCCTATTGCTACTGATACTACTTCATCATTATCCATGTCATCTTCTTGGAGTGGCGCCAGGTGACCCGAAGGCTGAAAGTGCAAACTTACACTTGAGGAAAGCAAAGAATCTTATATCAACGATGAAATATCTAACGTTAGTCGCTGGAAAGGTTGCTGCTGACTGAGAAGTTCATAGTCTCTCACAGGTGTCGCTTACGGCGACAAAAGTCGAAAAACCCAATACAAAAGATCTGTAATAAACACAGAAAAATTCATAAGGTCTGCTGACTCACTCTGTAGCTCAGTTCGTAAAGCGCTGGCCCCTAGTTTGGCATTTGACCCAGGTGCGAAGCCTATCAGATCGAATAAATTTTTCTGTGTTCGATGTTTGTATTAATAATTTGTAACAGACTAGTGAAGTAATTTCCTAAAAAATAAATGAATATTATGGTAGCAAATTATCAGAACATTCAATAAATAAATAAATAAATAACGCACACACTCATAGCCCCGCACTAGGGAAACCGGGAATGCCATGGAGACAGACATATACAACCACAAATTACACCCAAACTCACAAGAGAAATAAATGTAGCCCATACAAATATTTATCTCGGCCCAGGTAAAAAACCTGGGACCTCTGTGTGGCAGACTAGCATGGTAACCGAAGAAAATAATATAAAATTCTTGAAGAGGAGACTTATTTCTCATTACCACAAGAGAAATAAAAGAAACTCAGAAGACCGTCGCTGATATACGTATTATATTACTCCGTTAATCTACTATGGTTCAGATAAATATTTGTGAAATATGATTAACAGCTTATACTGTTCGAACTTGTGGCTATGCCATGAAATCAAATCCAGTTGGAAGGTAAACGGCACCTTTTGGCAGCCGTTTGTTCAGCGGTGTTTTTCCACTTGCCTTTTTCCTAATTTCTCTTTCTCTCTGTCTCTCTGTGGGTCGTCTTTTGTTATCAGGCTCTGTCGGCAGCATATGTCTCTTGGAGTGATAGTGGACGCCTCCTCGTCGCATTTCTCGGTGTAACCTTTGTTCTTCTGAATGCCACGCTGCTTCCTGTTTAGAACAAATAGAGAAATGCACATAATTATGTATTTATAGATTACACAGATTTGTTGCTTTATTGTTGTATCTCCGATATCTTTGTGTTTGCGAAGGATGAATGTTATGTTGTATTGTGGACACAAATTATCTACGTAACGAAAAGTCTGTACTTTTTTAAACCACTTAAGTATTGATGATCAAAATGTTTGAGAGACAAGGCGCTTTATCAGAGAATTACTGAACTTTTCGAATCTAATAGGTATTTAAACTTAGTATAAATTCATAGTCCTACGCAGCCAAGACGTGGACATTAACAACAGGCCTCATCCACAATTTCAAGGTCGATCAGCGTACTATAGAACGAGCTATGCTTTGGGATGGACCGAAACCCTAACGTGGTCATACGTCAAAGAGCTAAAGTGACCGACATAACTCGCAAAATCAGTAAGCTTAAGTGGGAGTGGGCCGGGGATATCTGTAGAAGGGTTGAACGCCGATGGAGCAGACTTGTTCTGGAATGGTGACCACGTCAAGCGAAACGTAGTGTGAGACGCCCTGCGGCAAGATGGACGGATGACCTGAGAAAGGTGGCCGGCAGCAGCTGGATGCGGGCGGCACAAGACTGGCAGAGTTGGCGTGCTCAAGGAGCGACTTATGTCCAGCAGTGGATACGTGTAAGCTGATGATGATAAACAAAATAAATTACTAATAAGTTGGTAAAAATTAAAATTAAAAAACCCCAACACAAAGCAGTGTGTCAATAAAGTAAGCTAACAAGTTAATTGACTCAAACACGATGATTCTACTGATATAGTTAAGGAGTTGGGTAGTCTGCAGAATACCTTGAAGCATCAGATTAAGGTTACCATTATTCATGTAGTCTTCAGATTTCCATACTATACCAAATTTCAAATCGATCGAACAAGCGGGAATACACATTATGACTAAGATTACTACACAAACTGGAAAAGAGACTATCTTTAAGCAGCTGACCATATGTTCATCAAACATATCTAAGAATTAGCCCAGTTAAATTAACCTTCAAATAAAAGAAACCGTTTTGAGATCAGTCCATTCGTTTTTATGCTACGATACCATAGACAGACAAATACTTCAAGTTTCTAACTGTCTTCTTTCGGGGCTAATTGTACATTGAGAGATTGTTAGAAAACCCGATGCCGAAGGCTAAGGGCATAATGATTCGAGTTTTGTAATTTTTACCGCTCGTTGTATGAGCTACAATGTTTTTCATCACATTTGCGAGGAAATAGATACAACGATAATTTATTTCTTGTATGAATAAATATCGCTTCACAACGCACTATTTACGGAATTTGCAAATGGCGGTTTTTTATAATTTTTTTTATACAGATTACCCGCAATTCTTCCCTAAATAATACAACTAGAACTAAAGTGTTATAAAAGATGCTGGCGCATGCAGCCACATTCCAAATTCTGAAAACACTGCAGAATTTGAATTCACAAAATAAATTTAGTGAAATATAGTTAAATTGCAATTTTAATTGCAAAATAAAGTTTTGCTTAATCTTCACGTAAAAAATCCATAGAGCGATAATGTTATGAAATAGTCCGTGGGCATAATTTAGAACATTACGGTCCACTTTGCCTGCGTGTCACGACACTGTTTAAGAGTAAGTGTGATGAAAAAATATTAGTCAAATCAATGTTTTATTTAATGACACTCCAATGTCAAGTCATTTAGATTGCAGAATTATATACACTTACAATGAAAACTGTAAAAGCAGCAAAAACCACAACAAACGTCTTTCCGTCCATATTTCTTGTACAAAACTAATGTAGCGGTTCCCACCAGGAACAGACGTAGTTGTTTATTTACAGATTCGACAATGACTGAATCAATATAAACATCGGAGAATACTTTCTTTGTCGTCGCATTCTTGGGTATTTGTGAGTGTCTGTTTAGAAAACGACGCGATTTTCCAACGATTGTTTATTAATTGACGAAGAGATTACCAGAAACTGTGCCATATAAATTTTGATCTAATTATAATGATAAAATTTCAGGTTTGTTAGAACCCAGATGTTAGATCACAATATGTTCACCATTGCAAAAAGTGACAGTATATTGTCGCCATTCCCAGTTAACCAAATTCTAATATTGTGAATTGCTTTTGAGCCCGTTTATTGGCGCTGTGCGCAGGCGGCTAAATATTTGTGAGTCTTATGCGGTGGCTAATGGACTCAGATACAATGTGCTGAAGAGTGAATGGTATTTAAAGCAGGTACTAAGACGTATACCATAGTGGATTATGTGGTACTCCTCTAAGGCAGGCATAACAGTTTAAGTATCTGGGTCACTCGGTCACCGAGAACCTATGCGATAATGCCGATGTGGAGCTCAGGGCGTTGGCTATCCGATACAAAAACCTGCCTCGCAGGTTTGCACGATGTACAGATGAAGTGACAGTTCGAACGGCGTCCTAAGCACATTGGTGGAAACTATTGGAAACATGGACCGGTGGTAGGTGCGTTGTCCTGTCATTGGCTGGGTACATTGTGGTCCCATCTTAATACCTGCGAATAATTTTGTTTTATTGTTATTTTACATCTACTAGCTTAAGTACTTTGCTTTACTAACGAATATTATGGATTATCTGAAATAAATGCTTTATTGTTATTATTATAAAATTTTGTTTCACTCGGAGTTCTCCGGTTTACCAATAAATACATAACGTACACACACACAGCGCCGCAGTAGGGAAACCTTGTGTCACGGGTGCCATGGACACACACATAGACAGCCATAAAATTATACCCAAACTCACGAGAGAAATAAATGTAGTCCATACAAGATTAGGCCATTTAGTAGCAGTAGACCTCCTTGTGAAAGAGTTCTTGTAAGGTCGCCTTACTTATTTCAGCCTCCAAGTAGTAATAAAGAGTAAGGGTGCTGGTGAAATTACATGTACATGGGACTTGTCAACTCATGTCCCAGAGTGACGGGCGCAGTGGCACTGCCCCTCAGATCCTTGCTACTTAAACAACTGTTATGGACAGGCGTGTAGCTTACCATCAGGCACAGGACTTGTTCGTCCCGTCACTTGATATTATAAAAAAACACACAAATATTTCTCCTGGCCAGGGAATCCATCCCGGGACCTCTGCGTAGCAGACCGGCATAGTAGCCGTTCGGCAACGGAGGCGGTTTAGTTTAATAAGCACGGGCCAATGCTAAGTGCACGTCAGGGGTGACTGTTAGTGGAGAAATATGGGATCATGGCATCAATATGCAAGAACGTCCTAACAAGGCGACAAGTACTGAGGATGGCTGCTTTCTATATTGGTGATATATGTTTGGTGGTAGGTTCAGGGAATGCAATGACTGGTGTAGCTGTTTCGGAGTAGCGCCTGTGGTTGAAAAAACTATTATTACTTTCTTCAGATGCCTGCTTCGGGTTATGTCCTCTTTTAATTCTGTATATGTAGGTATATATATATAATATATTTATGATTATTATTTTATTAATATTATTATTTAGTTGTTTTTTTTGTATTTTTATTATTACCAATTTCTTCTTCATTTGTAGGTATATGTGCAATATGTGTGTTCTGATGCGCCCTCAAATAATTTTAT